CGCCCTTACACAATCTGAAGGTGAGGCCAGCTAGGCTCCAACGTAGGCTCGTCATCTTCCGGATCGTATATCGAGTTGGGGTTGCGACCATGCACCGGTGGAAGCTACGAATAATAGCACTATACGGTAAATCGAAAATGGGATCAAGTGAGGTAAGAGAAGAACATTCCTCTCCGATTACTACCGCCCGGAAGATATTCGCCGATACCATATTAACCACATCTTGCATGATTGACTCATTGAAGCAGTTGCGTGTATTATTCACATATCTAAGAATCACAAGCTGATGAGAATGTTAAGTCCGACCTTGGTCCCTACTCGACGAGCTCGAGCAGTGTCTGTCGTTTTGCCTCCTTTTCTTTTAGATATGTTTGTTGGTTACCAAAGTCGAATACAACCCCACAAGCCCGGACCTTCTTCCGAAAGAGCTCGCTTCTCTCAGCCACCGGTGCATCTATCACATTCACTACTGTACATACGAATATTCATAGTGAGCTCGTACTCCGCAGAGGAGGAAGATCCTCGAAAGGATTGACGTCAGCCGACATATAATGGCCAGGTTTTATTAGCATTTGTGTAGAGTTAAGGAAGCCCTGTGCATGTTGATGGTGATGATGTTGATTAACCTGCCCATAGAGCTCCTTCCTCCCACACTGATGAGAGCCTCTATTACTTTATGTCCACCACTGCTAGAACCCGAGTGTTGTTTTACTGGCGGCCCTCTACTACTAGTTCCTTGAGAGTTGCTGTTAGCCCCACCACCTCCTGCCACTACCGCTCTCTCATCTCCTGAAAATCAAACCCAATGTGTGTTGGTGACAATATGAAAATTCTGAGGGAATTTTGCAAAAATTCTTGTTGGTTTCTATGCACTTCTACCCTAAATCGTGTGTAAACTTCTGTCATCGGTGGAATGATAGGGAAACGAACATGTATTCCAACACCGATCAGACCACTAGAGAAGACGAAGAGCTTTTGCTTTACCGTTAGGTGAGTTGGCCAAGGTGGTGGATCCAGTCGAATCAGCTGGCGTGGTATTGCTATTGTCGCTCTTCTTCTCCTCAGTCCCCATTCGACGCTTTACACTTTGAATCAGCTTCATAGCAACAATTACCACTAACAACTATCAAGTCTCAACTCGACTCTGCCGAACAACGCAAAATTACAAAACGTGCAAGTCCTGAAACACTTCGCTCCGCTAGCACATGCGTGCAGACAATACAATCGTCGTCTAAACTTCTTCAGTGGTCGAGGCAATCATCCTGCACACTCTCCGAAAGGCAGGATAGAATTTGAAGTCGACTACTGAGTAAAGCAGAATTGATTTCCGATCTCGGTCCATGAGTATAGGAATTCGGTAAAGGTCTTGTTAAAATCTGACTATGATCAAGTCTACAGCATTTCCAGGTCAAATTAATTTTTTACCCATTTGGTTAATGTTTTACCCTTTTAGTTAACGCTTCACCCATGGCTTTAATAAGATATCAAGAAAACTAATATTATGCCCGGTTTATTTGAAAGTTTAGGAGTTTAATTTAATCAAGGCGCGCCTAATGATAATGTGCGCGTGCAGATTTAACAATAGACCACCCCTGAAATAGCAAGGAATGTACTGAGACGCTTTTGTGCTCAAGGGAGGGGGGAAAATCATACGGGAGAATTACATAGGTAAAGCATAGAGGTAGTTGAACAAGTTGAGTTTTCTGGTCATGCTCATGAACGACTCTTCTCTCTCAGGGCTTCGAGTCATTTAAAATAGGCGACAAGCAAGGCAAGTGCAACACTAATATTACTGCCGAAGCAGCGACACGACTCCTCGAGTTGTCATTGACCTTTACGACGTGCACGTGGTCATTGGGCGCGCCTTGATTAAATTAAACTCTCAAACTTTCAAATAAGCCGGGTATAATATTAATTTTCTTGGTATTTCATTAAAGCCATGGGTAAAACGTTAATTGAAAAGGTAATAGCGAGTGCCGCTCTGACAATTTCTCATTGCGCACTGCGAAAGAGCCTCAACAGTCGACACGGTGGCGCTCAAGGACCGGTCAGCATTCGATACACAACTGTTGTGGATCACAACTTGTGCCGCTCCCCCGCTAGTAGTCTTGCCTCAGTCTGCTGCAGCTGCAGGCCGCCGCGGTGCGGTTGTGAACCTGATTGCCAACCTACTCTCGGTGGAATTGCTGCATGAGTAAGCGTTTGCCGCCGCAACTCGCGATCCTAGATCTCCGCACAATTCCCACCCCTGTTTCGAGACAGGACGTCGTCAGTCTGCGACTTTCATCGGGATCGTCCCCGGTGCCTGGTTTACGGTTTGGTAGTCCGGTCTGTCCTCCTGCTGCGCTCACCCAAACTTCGTAGTCGTAGGAAGTGCCCACCCGTTTCAGCTAACTCCATCGGGTCTTGACCGATCAAATCTACTTCGAAGCGGGTCGATGATATTTGGCAATGCGAGTAGCTCGCAGTATTGCAAGTATCACATGCCTTATTAGTCACTTCAAACTCGAACACAACCGCTTCAATGTTAGATTGAAAGCATCTAGAGCCAGCACTGTCAGGCAACTTGCCTGACGTACCCAACGTCAATGAAGCATGAATATGCATAGTATAGAAGTCAGCACTTTCATATGAATGAGAGTTTTGGCCAAAACCAAATTCTCGAGACACGAGTCTTCAATATCGGCGTCGTTGCGCACACTGGACAGTAGTGATTCCTCGCAGTGGCGCTCTACAAAACGCATCAGAGGGTCTCAGAAGTAGGAGCACGCTGACCTCTCTATTCTCATCGAACGTGTCACCATTCGCGCTGACATCCAGAATTCTGGGCATCGTTCGACGCCTATTGCGAGCATTGTGATGATAGGCCCACGACTTGATGCACTCAGAGTGAAACCAATGGCCACAATAGGCTCTGAAAACGCTAACCTGAAGGGAAGCAACTTCATACGCCCGCGTTATTGATATGAAAGGCAGCTCACAATTCCCCGTTTTGCATAACGATGCCTCACAGCATTCGTGATCCCGAAAGTCTGACCAGGCCTATCCAAGCTGAGAGTCACGCGTGCCGCCGGCTGATCGAGACCATCAGTCAGGCTGCCTAGACATATACAGCAAGTTCCACTCGGTCCGCCCGGTCTCATCTGGCAAGTGATGGCAGTCGAGACCCGCAGTGTCAACAGCAGTTACTCTATCGAGACTCAGAAGGGGACAACACAATCGGAATGTGTCGCCATGAAGGGAATCAAAAACAGATGTCACTTGCAGGTAGCATGCCTCGAGTCGGACGCATACGGTCTGAAACCAGAATGCTCACCAAAATGATGTACAGTGCAAGTTACCAGCAGACTCGGGCGAGAGATAATCCAGTCCGCCCAAAGGACCAGAAGCCTCAGAAAAACTAGCATCGCAGTGTGACAGAATAGGGTTGCCGACAAGAACTGCAGACAGTCAAACACTCTGCGAAATCAATAGGTTGTCGCACCTTGAAACCTAGTCTGACCAGATCGTCATTGTGACCCACTAATGCGGTTATCAACATCCATAGGGTCTGTCTGAGCGCAAGCAATGTGACGTGGATGCTCAATAAAGGCCTCTGGAGGCGCCAAATAACGCCTGAGCCAGTCAGTGAACTATCGTTGTAAAGGACGATGACATTAGTACGTGAAGTCTGCAGCAACGCGAGGCTCATACAAATCCCCATGACCGCTGTGATGCAGGAGTCCAACGCTAGCCATAGGATCCACGATCCACGACGAGGGGACTGCACGCTTCGCCAAGGTAGGACGTCATCTAAGGCATAGCCATTTTACTATACGACGATGTGGTCAGCAACACTAGGCTAATAACTATAATGGAATTCCATTCGTGATATGAAAACACTAGTGAAAAGCATATTTCACAAATCACTTCACGAAGAACGATTGTGTTATCGGTCGCGAAAGCGTACACGTCCTATAACTAACATGGAGTATTACGCCACTTCACGTTAAACAGGTGAAACTCAAATGTGTGCAGGGAAGTAGAGCAAGCATGACTATTTCACAAATTGATTCGGTTGCCTCCAATACACGTGCTCACTCGGTCTCCATTGGCCTCTATTCTGCTCCAGCAGTGTCGTACTGACAAGGAAGTCATCCCAGGCAGAATCACACAGAGCATACGATCCGAGACTATTGAGGCAGACCTCGTGGTTGGTCGTATCCTGGCTCAATCTTAGGCCCATCGAGAGCTTCAGCTATCCCCCTACCTCTACCATACGGTTCGAATATCCTCCTAGTATAGCTAGAAACTCATCCCCTAGCAAAGACGCATAGACGGCCACAGCGGGGATCTGAACTCAGATCCAGTCACAACCTAGGCCTGGTTATGAATGACGATAGCGGCTCCGCGATAGCATTCCAATCCGCTTACAGTCATTGCCCAGAAGAAATCGCTTTTGATGAGCCGCCTCCACGCCTCGCCTGTCCAAGTCGCGTACATGTTCTCACAGCTCTCTCCCTAGCGGAAACAACAGTTCCCAGAGTTCCTCGTGCATATCTCATCTCACCCCCAAATGCTGCCTCGACCGTTCCCGTATCCTCACCCGGCTTGATGCCCTACGTAGCCGTGCGGGCATCGACAGATACGTTGCGCCTCACTATGAAGATTGCAACTGCTTTTCATCTTCCACGTTCTTGCTCTTACTGTGACACTAGTCAACACGACTCGACACCGAGAGCTCATTTAACAGAAGTCTAGTTAACACTTAAGTCTTCTTATATCTCCACATAATAATAATCGATGATGGTGACACATGACATTTAAGAAGTTATAGGCGAGTAAGCCTAGTAAACATAGTTGGCCACATAGAGACTCTCACTTCCTGGGCCTCCTTCCGTGCCCTTGTATTTGCCCAGCTGTGCCTCACTGTTGGCTTTGGCACGGTAAGCAAACGCCTCCTGGGCAGCCTTGACGTTGTCAGCCTTGCCAGCCCAAGTCTTGATAGCAGTAGCTTGCAAAGCACGACCGTACGAGAAAGTCAGTGCCCAAGGCCTTCGGTCCTTGGGCATGGCATTCATGGCGGACAGGTTGACCGAAGCTTCCTCTTCACTCTGGCCCCCAGACAGGAAAGTGACCCCAACCAGGGCTGGTGGCACCGTCCTCTGCAGTGTGCGAACCGTATAGCGAGCAATATCTGAAGGGCTTGGACGACTAGAGCACTGCATGCCAGCAGTGACCATATTGGGCTTCAGCAGACACCCCTCGAGGAGGATGTGATGATCATTAAGGGCCTTGAACACAGCCGTGAGCACCCTCTCAGTTACATAGGCACATGTCTCAATATCATGAGTACCATCAGCCAGGATTTCGGGCTCAACGATAGGGACAATCCTATGCTCCTGGCAGATAGAAGCATAACGGGCCAAGGTGTGAGCAGTCTCGTCGATAGACAGCTGAGACGCTGATGCTTAGCTTGACTGATCTTCAGCACAGCACGCCATTTGGCAAACCTGGCTCCAGCTTGATAGTACTTAGCGCAC